ATTTCATTGGCAAGAACTAGTTACATGGCTACACTCGGGTGCAAGGGGTCCTGGGATATATAATCCTGACTGAGCAGCTTTCTTCCAGAAAATTCGTATTATAGAAGGGAGCTAAACATTTCTGTCCCAGTCAGGTTTTCATATGTTTGAATATGAAGGCAGTTATGTGTCTCATTCCAAGCAGAACAAGAAAATGTGATGATATTATATATTCTAATTTGAGATACATAGAGAAGTAGAGCAACCTTTGGATTAGGAAAAAAAAAAAGAATGTGCAAGTGAGGCACCACAAGAGCAGAAGAATGGGATCCATTTGTACTCGCCATCAAATTGGTACTAACTGATCAACACTAGGTTGATCACATGGCAGAAATACTCTCCAGGGATTAGGGGGATGGGGGGGCAAATCTACAACTAAAAGGACATGGGGAGCACTAAATGGAGGGAAGGGCATGCCTTTAACCCGCATTTGGGTGAGGCAAAGACATAAAGTGTCACTACAATGTTTGTACCCTCACAATACCCTGGAATAATAATAATAATAAAAAAATAAAGAATGTGCTTTAATGCCACAGTCATCATCAGAGACATTGCCAGATGCGACACTATACTTGGAGGAGGATCTGGGCCATCTCCCTGCCTAGAGATGTTCCTATGTAGAACCAACTCCTTTCCCTCTGCCTTCCAGCTGAGACTGTGAGAGGCTACTCCTTCCTCACCCACCAAGAGGAGATGCACTTGCATGAGGTCCAGGCACTACCAGCCCCGTGTGCAGACTCAGGGCAGCGTGGCCTTTCTCCTTCCTTGGTCTGGATCCCCAACAAAGTCCTAGCATGTCAGGCAGCCCCACTGCCTCATTCTCAGATACTCGCTTACAAAAAATGCAGCCATCCCCACCTTCAGGACTGCAACACCTGTGCTCTTTGTAACAAGATTGACTCGTCTGAGGAGTGTTTCTTCCATGGATTTGAGCATTAAAGTACTATATTCAGCCACTGCAGTGGGAACCCAAGCAGCCTCTTGCTGGGGAACAATTAAGGTCTGTGAAGTAGTCTATAGAGTTTTGATGAAAGAATGAGTATAACTCACTATATATTACTTGGTTTGGTTTTGTTTTGTTTTCAAGGAAGGTTTAGTTAGTAAAATTTTGAACTTCTCAGGTTGATAAAGAAGGAAATCCATTTTAAATGAGCCTTAAGAAATATTCAAGATAGAATATAGAATGTGATCTTCTGCATAGTCACTGCTATCAATTGCTCTGCCTTGCTTTATTTGGTATCATAAAAGTCTAGACAAAAGGAAGCTATAAGAACTTTAAGTTTGTGGTAAGGAAGACATTCTTATGTTCCTGAAAGTGACAGGGAGGGGGATAGTGAAGAAAAATAGGGAGAAGAACTGCTGATAAGACCAAAAAAGGGAAAATGAATTCCTAAGGAAAGCTAGTAATTCTCAGGAGGCATGACATTGTCCATGAACTGGAACATTCCAAATGTTACAGTGACAGCCGTTGCTTCATCCTCTCCTCATCAAGAGGTCTTATCTAAATCTGTTCAGAGTTTATTATTTTTCAGTGACATATTCCTCCCTTCCTCCCTGTCTCTCTGTCCTCCTCCCTTTCTTCCTCTGTCTTCCCTTCCTTCTTTCTTTTCTCCTTCCTTTTATTCTCCTCTTCCCTCCTCATTTTCTCTCTTCCTCCCTCCCTTTCTTTGTCTCTCCTTCCCTCTCTGGGTTAGGTGCTGTTCCACATGCTGAAAAGGATGTAATACCACAATCTGTGGGCTCTGTTACTAACCCCATGTTAAATAACTGACACGAAGGCTGAAAAGTGGCTTGAGAAGGGTAAATAACTCTCCCAAGCTGACTCAGAGGCAGAACTGGAATTATCAAAGGGGCTCTGATCATGTCATCCTCTATTCAAATGCCTTCTCTGATTTCCTGTTGCTGGAATAAATAAATAAATACATAAAATCAAACTTCAATTCTATTAACATGATAGGTAGCCCTCTACAGCAAATGGTCCCAACCTATTCCCCCAAACATACGTAACTCCAGCCACTTCCCTACAGAGCCTGAATAGCACCATCAGAATATTCTCTCTTTCTTAAACGCAACTGATCTCTTACAACTCTAGGACACGTGCTTGTTATATAATACCCTGCTTGCTTTATCATATCCTTCCTTGCCTAAAACTCCTACTCATCCTTCAAAACCCAGACTACCTCTTCTATGAAGCCTCTCCTGACACTTACAGGCTGAACTAGTTTATTTATGTAACCCATAACCTCAGTAGTATTGACCTTAAACATAAAAGTTTTAGGCCGGGCGCAGTGGCTCACGCCTGTAATCCTAGCTCTCTGGGAGGCCGAGGCGGGCGGATTGTTTGAGCTCAGGAGTTCAAAACCAGCCTGAG